ATCTGTGCCTAGGCTACAAACAGGAGCCAAGTGTTTCTTTTTTGTCTTAATGTGATTCACTGTCAAAGCCTCACACAGACTATGCATGAAAGGGACTCGTGGCTCCTGTTTTTGAGAGATGTGGTGGCAGTGTCGCTTCCTGTATGCAGTAAATTAATAATTCAGTCAGTCCTAAAAGAAGATCTGCAGTGAATCAGGTGAGTAACTACAGTCTTGAGTATCTTACAGGAGAAGACATTGAAGAACATACAGCAGAGGCACAAGTTGATATTGAATTATACCCAAGACAGAGATAAGGTTTATTAGCTTGGATGTAATGTTGTACAGTGGTTGTTCTTCTGACATTGAATTAGTTTTCACTGAGCAAATCCAGGTTCTTATGGGCTGTATTTGCCAACATTGTACATGTCTGTGTGACTGTGCTGTAGAGATGCTCTTGTTTGGCCTCATGTTCAAGGAGCCGCAGTAAACACTTGGCTCCTTACATTTTTCACTTGAGTGAAAAACACAAGATGAAAGTCTACAGAAATGTATAAATGGACACTATTGGATTAACGTTCTCACTAACAAGCTAAAAAAGATTAATGATTCAGGGCAAAGCCAGTATCTCTAGATCCTCCAGTGCAGCTGTGCACTGCCAATTGGATAGCATCCCTGTGTTACATCCCTGTTTGCAGCCAAATGTATCTGTCCTCCAAAGGTCTTATCTGCCCTCTTTTTGTATCAAAATACTTGTACTTCAGAATATGAGGAACTGAAACTTACATTTGTAAACAGTAGTCTATAACCATGCTAGGTGTTTTGAACTTTGGTTTAAATTGCCAAGTTTCCTGTGACTGTCTTTAAGTTTTTGCAGTTGGATAGTGAACAAGCATGCACAGAAACACATTTTCTTAGAGATATTAACAAGAATGTAGCTGATTTATTGCAGCATTCCTGCTTGATTGGTAAACAAGTTTGTTGTGGCTATAGTTTTGAATCCATTCAGCTTTTTTGTTTGCAGAAATGATCCCCCAGCTTAGTCACTCATTTTATATTACTTTCCTTCAGCTATTGATGTCTGTCATCGTATAAATGTCACTGTGTTTTTACTTCTCTTCCTAAAATACAATGTACCTATCTACATCCATTCTATTAAATAAATGAAATTCATAAAAGCTTTGACCAGGTAATGAAATTGCTGGTCAACTTGGGTATAAACAGGTACTTCCCTTCTCATGATGGGCTCATAAATTGTTTGAAACCATAGGTCCAGAAGGTCTTGCAAAACCTTACCTTTCCTTTTCCTAATGCTCCAGTTGTTGCACTGAGCCACTCTTACTGTGATGAAAGCCTTGGACAATATCCATTGGTAAAATGCAAGAACTAGTTGAACTTTCCTGTGTTGGGATACTGCAGAAAAGCTACACTGTGATTTGACACGCACTTCACTGATATTGGCCAGACTATGCCTTACCTCTTCCCCTGACTAGATGCACAGATTTTCTTTCCAGAAAACCAAGGACAAGGAGAGAGAATGGAGAAAGTCTAGGTTTTATCCTAAACATAAACCATGGAGCATGTGCCCCCACCTGTGAAATGCAGGGAATTGATCCTTGCTTCCAGAAGTATTGCTTCTCTGTGCTGCCTGCTACAACATCTGCTGAAAAAGTGCCTGGATCTTACAAGTTGTAGTCCAGGAAAAGGCTGATATCTTGCTTACACTATGTGAACTTGTCTCAGAGTGAAAAATGTGACATTCAGAAATACAGGTAGAGGAGTGTCACTTGGTAACAATACTGCAGCGCTCGTCTTTGTATTTTAAGCATGTTATTTCTGTGTTAAAGACTTGAAGTTTAGTCTCTAGCACTGAGGGAGGTAATAGGGCACCTACTTCACTCCTCAGAAGTTAGTCCCAAATGGCAGCCTCCCTTCCAGTCCCCTGGGATTACTATGTGTACAGTGGAGATGTGATCAGGGCATTAGAGACATCATTGCAGCTGTGGATAATTGAGCTTGACCATAACAAAAGCAATGTGATTACCTTAGAGCTGGACAGATAATGCACAGGGAAGAACTAGATATATTTTAAAATAAAACCATACAATGGCATCCAGGCAGGGTCAACCCAGCACAAGAATAATACTGCATTTATGTTTTGGCACTGGTAGCTGGTGATGCAGACTAAGAAACATTAAACCGATACCTCATATAACTTTTATTCAAACTATTTATAGCAATCACATATATAACTTCTCATTACTGTGAAGTAAAAATTCTCAGTTCCAGATTTGAATCTAGTGTATTTACTGCAGGAGAAATAAATAATTCAGTTGGCATTTCTAAAAATATAATTAGTTGATGAGTCAGAGAAGAATTTCATTTCCCTAAATGTTAAGGCTGAAAGATTGGGAATATCACGATCAGTGTGTCTGACCTGTGACTCCGTCATGTCTTAGGATACTGCCTGGTAATTGCGTCACTTTGTAATTAAGCTGGAAGGTTGTTCAGACAGGACTGAATAAAGGGCCTAAACCACATTCTTGCAATTTGCTGAATGTTATTTCACACAGCACAAACAAGAGGTGCACCCCGCAGACAAGCCTGCATCTGGTGATTCATCATTTTCATTTAAAATTTAAGACAATTAACATTTACTAATGGGTTCATTTCTGATAAGTCAATGCACATTTTTGGAACGTCATACGTATCTTTGAACCACTGTATATGTGTGTATGTATGTGTTTAAGGTAATGACACATATTTCTATTTATGGGAATCCTACTCTTACGAAGAACCTGTATCAGCCATGTGAAATTTGAAAATAGAAAAGAAAGCATCAGGGATAAAATGAAAAAGGCATAAACTAATGAAACTCTAGACTGCAATAAAAGCTGCCATGAAAGAAGAAACTGAAACTCAAAAATGAACACCACGCAGAGCAAAAGATCAATATTTTATTGACTGGAAACCAGACTGGTATGTACCTGTTGGTCAGTCGTTACCCACATTGATTTTATGGCACTGCCGTTCAGCTTGGGCTTAGCTATGCACACACACTATTTTTTAATTTTTTAAATTTTTGTTTACATTTCTACCTAAAACAATGGCTGTCTTCAGCATGAATAAAGCCCATTCAAGTCAGCCAAATAACTCTAGGTACTTAAGGTCAGAGTCTAAAGGAGAATGTATGCCTTGGAGATGTGCAAGATGAGGACTAAACAAGTGCTGAGCGGTGCAAAACCTGCCATTCTTAATATCACTGCACAGTTCACATCAGCCTGGTACAGACACTGTAACATGAATCAAGCCACTGTAAAACATAGCACTGATGAAGGAAGAAGAGAAATACTTGTAACTCAGCTCTACATGACCTTTAATAATAGACAATTGAGTGCTGAAGCTCAGCAAACAGGTATAACCTTCTCAAAGCCAGCTACCTAAATACCTTGTACTACAAACAAGGACTGCCTAGCTTTCAATGACAACATTACCAGTTCTTGACATAATATTGGCAAATTCATGTGGCACATGGCAAAATGATTTGGTATTCATTTTGAAGAGATTATAGTCTGCTACAGACAAGCACATATTTAAAAGAAAAGGGGTAGACTCCGTTTCAAAGACCTCACAGTGTGGAAATGGTAAGGTCATTAAGTATAATTTGATTGCTGTCAAATGGTTTTGAGTGGAGAAGTACATGGTTGAAGGGATAAGTATGGATTGTCCCTTGTGTCTACTAATAAAAATATGTATTTTGTGTGTGTGTATTTGAAGGTCTAGTGAAGACAATGGAGGCAGAATCTTAAGGCATATTAACTATGGGAAAGTGTACATAGCACTAGCCAATCTCAGACAACCTTCATCTCTTGCAGTAGCTCAAAATATGGGTTTCTTTAGGTTCTAAAGCAGTTATGCCTGAAAAAATTAAGTACAGTCACCCAGTTCTGGGAAAAGACCTGTCAGTCAAGTTCTTTGGATGACTGAATACAACGTTTCCGAGGAGCAATCTCAGTAAGCAGAGGAAAATAGCCCTTTTTGTCTTTATCTGGCCCTGGCTCTTGGAAACCCTCTTTGTAAAAGTACCCCTTCCTCCCAGTTTCTGCCTGCTTTGTTGGCAGCTTTTTTTCTTAAAGTATGCAGTAAGTAGATATTTACAAGTTTTTCTCATCAGTGTGATGATCCAAAGAAAAATGCACATGCCCAGCTTTCTACACCAAGCTCTGCAGCTGTGAAGCAGTGCTAATGCCTCATTCTTAGTCATATACCATATAAACTTTTCAGAATCCTCCTTGGTTTATGGGAGATGAAATGTAAATTTTTGAGCTTCTAACAGCAGAGTGCAGTGTGTTACAAGGAGAAACATACTGTAAAACATACTGCAGCTAGATTTTAAATGCGCACGAATCTTTTCTGTGTTATTTTTGTTAACCAGTATTAGGGCTGTTTAATTTATTTTTTTATAAGCAGTTGAGAACTGCGATAGAATTAAACTGCTGTTGGAAAGCTACTTGAATGACCACTTTTGCAGCCCAGAAAGCCAGCCATATCCTGGGCTGCATCAAAAAGAGCGTGACCAGCAGGTCGAAGGAGGTGATCCTGCCCCTCTACTCTGCTCTCGTGAGACCTCGCCTGGAGTATTGTGTGCAGTTCTGGTGTCCTCAACATAAAAAGGACATGGAGCTGTTGGAACAAGTCCTGAGGGGGGCCACGAGAATGATGAGGGGACTAGAGCACCTCCCGTATGAAGATAGGCTGAGAAAGTTGGGGCTGTTCAGCCTGGAGAAGGCTGCGTGGAGACCTCATAGCAGCCTTCCAGTATCTGAAGGGGGGTTATAAGGATGCTGGGCAGGGACTCTTTATTAGGGACTGTAGTGATAGGACAAGCGGTAACAGGTTCAAACTTAAATAGGGGCAGTTTAGATTGGATATAAGAAAGAAATTCTTTCCTGTTAGGGTGGTGAGGCACTAGAATGGGTTGCCCACAGAAGTGATAAATGCTCCATCCTTGGCAATGTTTGAAGCCAGGCTGGACAGAGCCTTGGGTGGCATGGTTTAGTGTGAGGTGTCCCTCTCCATGGCAGGGGGGTTGGAACTTGATGATCTTAAGGTCCTTTCCAACCCTAACTATTCTATGATTCTATGACTATATAACTGTTATACTTCCTATATGTTTTTCTTACTGCAGAGTAACGAAGTACATTGTTGCAAAGTGAGAATAATGCAGCTGTACAGCTCTCCACAGAACTATGAAGCAGAGCCACATTCATGGCAAAGGACATCATCCTGCTGAGTGAGGAATCCCTGGCCCACCAGCGAGACGGAGCATTTCGCACAGTTAAAGCACTCCCCATGCCACTGGCGCTCTTCAAAGGAGACAAATTTGACATTTCCAGGAGCTGAAAGAGATTATATGAAAGAGAAGATGTGAATCTTCTGGGCATGGCTCAGAAATGCAGCAGAGTTATTTCTGTTGTGTGATCAGGTTGTCGTTTACATAGCAAGCAGAAAAGTGAACAAAAATCAATAGTCTGAAGTATCCTTTGTTGGCTGAATTTAAAAAAGGAAAATCTAAAATTAAATAGAGTGGGAATATTTTAAGCAAAGCCACAAGTCAATTGCTTGTTTTCAGATCCCATTATGAACTCTGAACTGAATAGGTTTATCAGAATGTCCATCCAGGTTTGCTGCCCTTCCCAACAAATTCTCATTAGAATTATCTGCAATGTGTTATATATGTAGTTTCTATACAACACTGAGTGAAATTTAATTGTTTCTACCTAAATTTCTTCAAGATGGAGTCTTTCAGAAATTACAGATCATAGAGTTCCCAGCATGCATATCTGAAATAAAATAATTTGGGGGGTTGGAGTTTTTTTTTTGTTCTATTGCTTGTTTTGATTTGGTTTGGTTTGGGTGTTTCTGTAAAATCATGTCCATTTGATTGGGTATTCATCATTTTCTTTGTCCGCTTACATACGCAGCATGCACCTGTAAGAATCGGGCAGTACTCTTCAACATTTGAGGCCACACATAATAGAACTACAATGCAGAACACCAGCAAATGCTCTCAGAAAACTGATGTCATAGACTAATGACATATATGTCTAATTATAAATCATCTAAGTACACAAGCAGGCATCCAATAGAGCTTTGTTGCCTTTGGTATCTTTCTAATATGACAGGTGAGTCTTACCAGCAGGCAGTTAATTTCTGTCCAGGTTCATCACATTTGCATTTAGAAACAAAGCTGAAGAAATTACAGAGATGAGGGACTTGTGTGTACTGCCCTGGGAAGAGGCAAATAATGCCTTTTCTTTTATTCTTAAGGATGAATTTTAGTGAAAAAGGACTAAATCGAACAATGGAGGAACTTCTTTTGGCACATAAAAGAACTGCTGAGCATTTAGTGAACACGTGTGATCCACAGGTCCCAGGAAAATGCAGTGTATGCGATGGAGAGTGAGTTTCTCTGGTAGTTAACTTCTTCAGTCTTCCCTTATGATGGAACTATTTTTAATGCTGTTTTCTAAAGCAAAAGTCTGCTTTGAGAGGAGACTAATGATTTGTCAGTGTCTAGCTCCCTCTAAAAAAATGAGACTCACCTGTAATAGGTTTCTTGCAAGCAGCACACTTCTTAGCATACAGTTTGCTGAAACAGTCTACACAATATGGATACTCATCTTTGGAAATAAACCTTTGTCCAGACAGTTGTGTTTTACACCCAGCACATACAAAGCATTCTTTATGCCAAGGCTGGTCATGGTAGGTCACTCCCCCAGAAGTTATTACCTAATGTATTGACAAATAAGGACAGAACAATGGAACAAAGGTGTTAATTGTGAAGGGTTATCCAGTCTTTCATAAATCCTTCTGCTATTTTCCCTCTTCTCATATGCACAAGAGAAGAGGGAAATGCACATCAACTGCCTTTCATTTGGAACATCAGTTTGACTAACTGCAGTTGTTATGAGCATGCCACTGGTTTGATATTCTCTATTTCTATCGCAGGCTTGTAATAAATAGGTTATCTTCTTATGGAAGTTTGCTTTTATGCAGGTGGATAAAAGCATAACATCAAACATGCTCTCAGAAGAGCAGTTCTTGGTGATAGACAGTGGATGAGAGAACCAGTGATGAGATTATGGCTGATCTCTAACTGGAACTGGCATTTGCTGTCTCACAACAGATAGAGTATATTAAGTAGGAAGAAAAAAAGGAAAGAAGCAGAAGTGAGACAGAAATTTAATAAATGTAATAAATAGGTTATCTTCTTATGGAAATTTGCTTTTATGCATGTGGATAAAAGCATAACATCAGGCATGCTCTCAGAAAAGCAGTTCTTGGTGATGGACAGTGGATGAGAGAACCAGTGGTGAGATTATGGCTGATCTCTAACTGGAACTGGCATTTGCTGTCTTACAACAGATAGAGTATTTTAAGTAGGAAGAAAAAAAGGAAAGAAGCAGAAGTGAGACAGAAAGGAGATCTACACTGTCAGAAGGAAAAAAAAAAAAGGTGTTTATCAGTGTCATCAAACGTCTCATTCCCTGCAACTCACTCACAGCTCTCCACTGGTTATTTCTGAAGAGGGAAATTTCCACTGCTCTATAGCTTCCATATGTGTGAAAAAATGCTACTTTCACATAAGCAGTGGGAGACTGTGTAGAGAAATTTATGTAGAGATAAAGATGAGCTGTAAGGGTGTTTCTACTGTCAAGTAACATGCATAGCAATAAAATGAATGAATGAATGAATGAATGAATGAATGAATGAATGAATGAATGAATGAAAATGAATGAATAAAAAAAGAAAATGAATAAATTAATCAGTGGGAACCAGAAGAGAAAAGTTGGAGAAACTTAAGTACAAATAGTGGCACAATCAAATTTCCCTGGAGAATACAATTTCAGGGAAATAAAGAATAATACTGGGTGATGTTGGGCAATAAAAAAAGAAAACATGAATAGTTCCCAATTCCCTTATCATTCCAGTATTGGGCTACTTCTAACTGTCATTTGCTTTTCCACTAAAATCTCAAAATCCCTGACACTAAATTCAAGATCCCAGTTTGGCAATTTAATCTCTTCAGGCTCAGTTCTTATTTATCGGTATTGATGCAAGTTTATGTAGTAAAATATGTTTAGAGGGACTCTGAATTCCTAGAAATATTAAGAAGCAAATCCTAATTATTTCACGTAAGTGCTGCTAACCTCAATGCCCCTAACAAACATAGAGCAGAAATACTGTATTTTCCATGTGATCATTTAGTGCAAATTGAAGGCTTGATGTAGAGGTATCAGAATATATAAAAGTACTTTCTAAAGTTTAACTACTGAAGAAATGAACAGGCTGCAAAATTTTCTTAAAAGCTTTTGTTAGAGGTAGAGGTTTACAGATAGATGTTAAATAATTACAGAAATTTTAAGTTATTTGATGAAATGAAAAAGAAAAATCATTTTTGCTTCATGAGTGATACAGGTAATAAGAACAAGTAAAATTCTGCCATGTAAAGTAGCTTAAGCTCTGTCCCCGGAGAACATTATCACACTAAAATAGCGTGATATTGTGAGCATTTTCATCAACCAGAGGCAATTTTAAAACATTAGAAATTTAGAGAAGAATGTATCGATTTATTTCTATGTGGGAAAAAAAAAGAAATCCTCATTAGAAATCAAACTTTCTGGCACCTACAGGGGAAGCATTACGTATTTAGCAGTGGTACTCTTGGCCAGTATTTTCACAACTGAATATTATTTTATCTGATTGTTGCATGATAGATTTCAGTTAGAAAGCGGGCAAGGCTGTAAATGTTTTACTTAATTTAGATGGCTTATTAGGCATATGAATATGTTTGAAAAATATTGGAAAAGGAGGCAAAATCAGAGAATAGCAGGGAAGAAGGCTTTTACATAACTTTCAGTGACATTTTCAGCCTTTCTTAAAAGTCATATTCAATAGCAAAATAACCCCAAAATATTTGTTCTGGTCAAAAAGTTCATTTCAAATATAATGAAACTTAAGTTTCTATTAACTTAATAAGTCACTATTAGCAGCAGGCACTGATACAGTTGGTTTTCAGTGTCCAGTGCCAAAAGGAAGACTCTGCTCTTACTCTTAGTATACCAGGCATTTTACATGATCCAGCCCCTTCCCCCATGAGCAATACTGCCTCATTAGGATAATTTTTCTATTATGTGTTTAATTACCTGTTTGCAAGAGTAGCAATGGTGAGCAAATTGCTTCTCAAAACAGGGCATACAGTAGTTCTCATTGTCTTTGGTGATGAATGGTTTGATTCCCAATGGTTGCTGGCAATACTGGCAAACAAAACAGGATTCATGCCAGGAACTTCCCTTAAATTCCATTTTACGGGAACCTGTAAATACCCAAAGTGAACAATCTCCCCAGATATAGCCTTGTAACGTAAGTTTTAAATGATTGAATATTCTTGGGTTTATTCTTCTATCTTAGTACTGGATTATCAGAGAGAGCACTTATCCTCAATTTAATAGCATTTCTGAATATGTACTTGAAATCTCAAGAACACTTACAATGCTGTATGATCACCTGGCAAAAGATGGGCTAAATTGCTTAACCTGTGGTATTTAGAGTCTGTCCTTATATGAATCTTTTAAGGCTACTTCTCTGTGGCATGCTTCAGTTGCTCAGACTTTCTTTTAGGACAGCCAACTCAGAAATAATGTTCAGGCACACAGCACTTTCATAAAGATTAATTTGTTGGATGTTCAGTACATCTCTTAGTGATGTTTAAAGTCTTCTTTAAGGCTCCTTCACTTGATAAATGCATTATTTATCTCATTCAGATTAAGCTTAAGATTGCAAATTTTTAAAAGTAAATATGCTTTCTGTGACAGAGTTCACTAACTTAGAGCTCATCATTTTTGTCCCAGATCAACAGTTTCTTTTAGCATGTTTAACTAGATACTTTTGATACAGTACAAGGACAGAAAGTTTCTCAGTTAAATGTTTGACAGAGACAGAGCTCTTAGCTCTGTGTACAGGTGCTCTCTATACCTTAATGTAGGTGTGTAAATCTAAGATATACACATACACCTCAGAAAGATTTTTCCAGTGACTCTCCACCATATCTCCCTCCCCTTCTAGTTGCATCAGACTGTAAAGTGTGGTGCCAAGGGCTTTACCATCCTTTTCACATGAAGAAAAGTATTGCTGGTATAACCCATTTATCCCTTAATACCTTTCCTCTACTGTGGGGCTAGTAGAGAGAAAAATTACTGGTTGCATTTAAACATGAAAGGTTTGCAGCTTCCTCCCAGTGATCAGAAGGCTGACCTCATTGTCTTTGCTTACTGGGTCTTTTCAATACAGAGCTAGCAAGCTGATGGCAAAGAATGTAATGATTTAGAAACTGGTTGGCATTCCCATGCCACTTCAGTTCTCTCTTTGCACTATTACTCCTGCCATCAGCACTTGCTGCAAGGGTTTAGTCTCCTAAACTCTGGAGCAAAATCTGCAAGATGAATATACACCAGAGGGTAAAAAAGCAAACCTGAGCATGTTCTGGTACTATTTTAATCACAGCTAGTGAGGTGTGCGTATTATGCAACTTTTTGGTTTTTTTAGACTATATCAGATTTAAGCTGTATTTGCTTATTAAATTAAACACAACTATATTGCTACAACATTTGTTTCCACTAGTACAGCTTTTACCTGTAATGGAAAGGAAATAAACTATAAAAATACAAATCAATGTTACAGTTTGAACCATAACATCAGACACCTAGTATTTATACTAAGATAGTAATTCTGCCCAGCCCAGACAATACTGTTTGCATTAAGATCTACTGAAAAGTTCCTATGTCACTGCCGAATTTACGAATGTCCTTGGCCTTTCCCAAGCTAGTAGTCAGCTGGTATTTCGAGTTGTACACATAATCTGCAAAAAGGCTCAAGCAACCAGGGTAGTTCACTCTTTCAAAAGTTAAGGACCCACTTTCCTAAGCAGCTGTTTTCGTTTTGCCACATACAGTGCTATGGCTTTTCTTATATGCCTCTGAAGAGGGCACTTGTGGTAGCAATCAAAGACTTAGAGGATATCCTGAACAGACACAGCCAAAAGCTAAGAAGCAGTTTAGTGGAAAGTGAAGAATTTTCAAGGAAATAAACCGATTGTAAATGCAAATGTATTCTTTTTAGTAAAAATGCTAATAATGATTTGAAGACAGAATGTCATGTTTTGACTATTTGAACAAAAAATATTTCTGAATGAAAGAAACTGTACAAAGAAGGCGAGCTCAAGGTTTGGCCAATGTGACAGACAATAATGCAGGTGTCTTGTCTAATCTGGCACTCCTGCTAACGGTAGCTGTGTATACCTACGGCAGGATACGCCACCTAAGATCTGCAACAGAATCAAGGACTCAACATGAACACATTTTAGTCTGTCTTGAACTCGAATATTCTTTATAAAGATCCATAAACACCGTCAGTACTAAACCAGAGGTATCTGCCTGCTCTCACTTCACTGCCAGGAGGATACTACACACAAAGAAGCAATCACATGAAAGCTGTTCTGAAAGTCAAGGACCTTGTAGCTTGGCTATTCTCAAAGCTGTGGTTATAATTAAAAATGCAGTTCCATTTTTCACTGAAGGGTCCCTGTTATCTTACCAGGCATAATGGTCTTCTGGCAGTGGAAACACTTAGATGAATACTCATCAGAGTAGCATTCAGTACACAGCAAGATCTCGTCTTTCGCAGCAAATGGTTTCTCCACCAGTGAACGACTGCATTTGGCACACTTGAAGCACCGCTCATGCCAGTGGCGGCCTTTGTAGGACAGATCCTTGGAGAAAATAAGCCCATGTGAGTAAAGACTTTTCTTTACAGTGTTTTTATCCCTCAACTCCTCCCAAAAATAGAGTGAAAAGGGGGAGCATTGCAATGACGACTTGAAGAGGTGACACGTGCAACATGCGGGAGGTGTGCTCAGAAGTGATGCAAGCACTCAGCAACACTGTGTCCGTATATTTTATAGGTCTATTGCAGAGGCCATTAGGAGCTTCTTTGGCACAGGCAATTGTCTTTCCTCATGTAACATGTGAGTGCGTTTTTACTGGAAGAATAGTTTTGTATTTTACAGTGGGTCTTAAGAGAAAGCAAGTGATGAACATTTTTAATGTGCGCAGGGCACCTGACAAGAAGTGCATTCTCTATAGACTTTGAAATAAACCTCATGTATTTTTTATCATTACTACATTTCTTCCAGCTGACGGTGGATATCACTGCAGAAACATCATATTACTGCAGAAAACAAGCAATTAAAATCCCATTGAGAACATAATGATTCTTAGGAAGATTATTAAAAAATAGTTGCTTTTGTTTACACCTAATGTAACTCCTCCTAAAAACTTGGCGGAAAAAAAAAGTTTATTTAAGACTCATCAGGCTTAGGGGATGAAAAAGCTGGCATTATGTAGGAGATCTATGCTAATAATTCAAAAGAGCAAGCAACAGATTTTAGTTTTCCAAGGTTAAAAAAATTAGGGAAAAGTGTACCTGAAAAAAAACAACCCCACCTTAAAAAATAAACTAGACCCTTCCAGGTATCCTTTATAACAAGCACAAAAGGGCACAAATCCAATCTCACTTTTCTGTTTTGTCAGGTCTCACCCTTTAAAGTGCTAATAAATGAAGTAAATACCATACTCCATTTCAGAAGGTGCTGAGTACTTATCACGTTCATTTGCTTTTGTTAGTACTTTGAAGCTTGTGGAAAGTACGGTATTGGCCCAGAGCCGCCTGAGACAAAGACTGGGTAAGAAGGAAAGGAAGAGAGCCAAGCTTTAGCACCTTGGCAGAGCTGGGACAACCAGCTGTAGGTCTCTGTGGGCTACTTTTCTATCTGACTCTGGCCTGTTGTATTCCTTTCTTGTTACTCCTGTTTTTTTTCTCCCAGTTTTTCCTTCCATTCAGTCCGAAGATGTGACTTTTTGTTAACAGCCTTTGACATCTGCCACTTAATTAATTGAAATTAGTGAACCCAGGGCATGTGTTCTCCAGGTGACACTGACTGGTGCTATGTGTACAAGTTTGCTTTTGAAGAATGTGCATGAGAGTTTGAGAAGTGTCTTCATCCAAATCAGAATTTTCCTTGGATGATTCTTTTACACTACTGAGCTGTACTCCATGTGACTTGAAAACCATGAAACATTTTGGCTGTAGAGGCCTCCCGAGAGGCTTATTTCAATAACTTTCTGACCTTTTATTTCAAAAGAAGAAAGGGGAGAAGGTGAACACTACATACTGAACTTGGCAAAACAAAGGCATTTTGATAGGTTGCGTCTGGACTTAAAATTCAAAGTCGAGTGTACAGGCTTTAAATTGAAGTACGGGCTACTGGAAACTCTGTCAAAGACCCCAGAGGAACCCACATTATGAATTAGTATTCTAAAGAAGGGGAGAGGTGAAAGGAAAGACAAGCTTAGAAACACTGCCACTAACACACTAACACAGATGAGCAAGTTAAGCATGGAATTAAGTTAAAATAAAAATATACTTTGTTTCCAAAAAACAGGGGGAAAAATATACAAATTATAAATATGGTTTCTCTTCAGCTTGGCATTCTTCATGTCAACAACTAGGATGAAAGTAGTTTATCCAATACTCAAAACATTTTTTGTCAATGGACTTTCTCTCAGAAATTCCAGTTTCATTCAACCTGAATTACACCAGCACCTTACCATCCCTCAGGTACCATGCAGTCTCTGCAGCCAGTGAGTCGCTGGATGTAAAGTATGGAGTGCAGTTGTGGTCCATACATACACCACAGCCTTGCCATGTGTTTGAGGTATACGTATGCACAGATTTCCTAATCTTTGGTGCCAGAGCTTTCATATTCTGGCAAAATAGCACCGTGTCTCCCTGCTGTGCATGGATGTACAACTGTTGTGCTTAGGTCTCTTCACCATTAGAGGGCGGCAAAGAGGGTTGGGTGTGGAACATGCCGTTAAAGAATTTGTGTATAATTTAGCAATTTGTGTATAATTTAGTAAAGAACAAGAAGTGAAAGCTGAATCTTTACCTTGGAATCACACTCAATAGGTTGCTTGCACTCTTCACAGGTGCTGGCAAACAGTTTGTCATAACATGAAACACAATAAGCGTTTTCTTCTCTTAATGCGTACTTCCTTCCACGAAGAGACTGCAGGCAGTAATGACAGTCTGTGTGACTGCTGGTCATTCTGGCAGGGTTCTCCACGGGATCTGCAAAGGTGGAAAAATAATGTAATTCAGTGGATGACTGTTTGCTTGCTGAAATGAAATGTAATGCTGTTTTACCTGTGAAAATTAGGACAGACCTTTCTTGGTCATTTGAAATGCTGTGGGTTTCTAGTGCTGGGCTGTTCCATAATAAAATGGTAGTTTTTAACGCATGTACCATGTGTTATCTACATAATGGGGAGCATGAAAGTTGCTTCAGCTTAATTCTTCATCTTAGTCACTCTGATAGGTCAGATAACTGACTGATAGGTCTTCACATTCTCTACATACAACTACTGGCATTATGAACATTATGTACTGGATTGTGAGGCATGGTTTATCCAGAAATAAGGGAATGGAGACTGAAGCAATAGTTCAAAAATTAAACCAGCTGCAGAGTTAAAAGGTCAAAGAGAAATGGCAAGCACAGGAATGGCTTTCTCTTGCCATTCCTGTCTTTCTGCTCATTCCTTCCTTTTCAATGTACCCCCACCTCTACCTGACTGAGCAGAAGGGAGACAAGACATTCCAAGCTATATGGATACTTTTTGCATAATCCCACCTGTGCTGCTAATATTTTGTGGCATTATAAGGCGACACAAATACCCCTGGATAACAAAAGAGCAAAATACAAAAAGAAATAAACCAAATCATAACTCAAAGAAAGTTTCCCTTGTTGTTATTGGAAAAGATTGCCTTTTCTTATATATTTCTTTATTATTAGGTTCTATGTTGGCAGTACTAAAATACTGTGAGATAGATAGATTATATTTCTGTGCCAGACAAGTGCAGGAAATACCACAAATCTATTGAGAGCCAATTGTACAAGTTTCCCATCCTTCAGCTTTCCAGGCTAAAGAGGCTTGTATAAGCATTCAAACCTCAGCTGCTTATAGATCTGTAATGCTGAATGTTTTAAGGATTGCGGGCATAAAGACTTATTTCAGTCTTCTTGTTGCTGGTTAGATCATCAGCACTTTGCTAAAATTGGGTCTTGATTCCTGGGAATGAAGGAAGAAGAATCCAGAAAGTTCCCAGTGAAGCAAACCCAGAAACATCTGCTGGACTCATTGGTTTGCACTCTTAATTACACTCGTTGAGTGTAGTTGCAGCCAGTGCCAGCAATCATAAATTTTAGAGGACTTGAGAGCAACCAGGGAAGATCTCCTCAAATATTTACATATCAGTGACTCTGGGCAGCTGAAATCTTTGCACTTTGAATAACAGTGCAAATTAGTTACCCTAAATAGATGCAAAGCCTGAGAGTAAAGACAAGCAGGAAGAACAAGATTCGAAGGAGTGCTTAGCCATCACAGAGCTTACATCTAGTCCATTGAGGGTTACTCCCTCATACTTGTTTTTATACACTCACTGTCTGTCTTATACCCATGGTTCAGTTTTGAAAAGGCACTTTCTCTTTTTGTGGGCTTCTGCTTTTTGAGGTGTAATCCAAAATGATAGTTTGAACTGTGAGAAAGAACAATTACTGCAGTTCTCTGGTGGTACCAATGCATAGGGTCAGGTATTTATTCCTGGAGGGACAGTAGTAAGACAGTGGAAAAGGGGCAGGGAGAGAGGCTATGATGCTTATTTCCAAACTAATGACTTGATCATTTGTCACAAGCTATGGAAAACTTGTTAATGTAAATTGAAAATCTTGTAAGTTGATTTACTGCATTTCTGACTTCCCTAAATCCTTGTGCTAGGCAAGACAGGGGTTAGTAAGGAAATCAAACAATCTGTAATTCAGATCAGTGGGAAACACACTTGCTTTAAAACATTACAGATGTATTTTATGTGATATTCTTGGAATAACAGTATAAAAGGGCTTGAATCCATGCTTCCATTTCCTTAAGATCAAAGATTTGAATGTGAAATGAATGAATCAATGTATAAGAAAATGACATCCATCGGCGTAATCATTTACACAACATGACATAGAAACCAGACAGAGAGCAGTGCACTTAGCACACAGTCACTACGTAGTCATCACCAAAATAAAGGTTCAGTTTTGCTCATTTTTGTCTGTATTAGGGAATCAGTACAAGCTGGTGACTGGGAGACAATCAAGGAATGTTTGTGGTTAACTGGGCTCCATATTCAAGGTCATAGGACTTGAAGCTGGGTTTCAGAGGAATTTTAATTCCTCTTTTGTGTGAATTAGAGTTGTGCACTGCCTGTAAGGATAACCCTGAGTGAACCACCTTTCTGATCTCCTCCCTGCTGAATCAGTACCCCAGCTTCCTAACATACTTTCATCTCAGCCTAAAAGTGGCAACAGCAAAATCCTAACAGGACACTCACGAAGAACTTGTGTCACTTACAATGTTTTTTGTTGCACAAAACTCACCAAAAAATAGCTTCAGATATCTGCAGATACATCTCTGCTTTTTCATCCTAATGAATGGCAATAGGTTTTTAAGTTAGCAAGAACTGTGCATGCCCAATAATTTTCTTTAAAAAGTGGTTCTCTTTATCATTATTTTAATTTTTCCCCAGGAAGCCAATCCATTCAAGGAAGGTCTACTGAGAGGTGTCCCTGCCCATAGCAAGGGGATTGGAACAATATGATACTTAAGGTCCCTTCCAACCGAAACCATTTTATGATGTTCTATGATACTCTAACAAGACCTGTTACTGCAATACCTCAGAACTTCAGAAATTGTAATGTAATTATCCTCCTAAAAAACTATGTGGGTATGGGAGCAAAGTGCTATTACTCCTGTTTTACAGGTGACAGTGGTTGCTTAAGAACATTAAAAGAGCACCCCCAAGACCAGAGTTAAAGCCTGGGGCTGTCCTCTATTAAAATGCTCAAGTTGCCCAAAACTCTGCTTCAGAGAAAGTCTTCAGGGTTTGACCATGATGATATAAGACCATATTTGGGAATGAAGCAGCAATGGCATGAAAAAGAATGATAATTTTTGCAAATCTCTTGGCAAGGGTCTTGGCAACCTTAATGAACTACTTTAAGCGTTAGACAACACAGCAAGAACAGTGCATCTCATCTCCCCTAGTACCGCTTACCCTTGCTCCAATAAACAACTAATGATTCGAGCACCACGTAGTTAAGTAGAATGTTTTGGTGGTGCTTTGATCCTAATCTCAAGAGAAATATGTTTAGGTTAAGTTTGCTGGAAGTTAGACTTCGTGTTTTAAAGGTCAGTAAAGAAATCTCTGGAGGTCTGATGCTATTCATTCTCATGGAATGAAACGCTGACTCCAGCATTCCAGCTGCTAATTTGTGCCCTAGGCACAGGGAAAGGCTGTGATGTCTTCATTGTGAAAAGAGGATTTTGCTGTTTAAACTGGAGCAAAGCTAAATACTATTGATTTTAATGCATTTAGTAGGCATGGATATGTGATATCATTTGTAGTGTTAGAATATTCCAAGGGGCCACAGAGAGATATTGCTGAGGATGTGAGGATATTGCAGTTGGAGTCCCTGGGGTCAGATTTGAGAATACGGCAGTCTCATGGTAGGAATTATAAAGCAGATGAAAATAAAACAACAGAGCTGGCTAGTCTGCCTGCTGTTCCAGCAGATTAAGATAGCATTTAGCTACAACAAATTAGGAGAGTGACTTTCTGTAGAGTCAGATGTTTGTTTTCCTATAAAATACAGAGCACAAGAAGACTTCCAGTGAAGAAAGCCATAAGAAAATTGTTGTGAAGTTGTGAAACCTGATAAATGTGGAACCGTCAGGAAAAGAGTGTTTGTTTACTCACTGGAGCTAAAAAGCACAGCCACAATGCTAATATATCTCTTAATAATTTATCTTAATATTTTCTATAACTGTATGTTAGTCTTTCTATGTTATACAAGGAGAAAAAGACTAGGAAAAGAGTGCTTGTTTACATATACACAGAAATACTGTATCTTTTGCTTTATGGCAATTCTAATGGACTATTTCCTGATCTAAATAAGCCTGCCGTTGAACTGCAGCATCTCTAAAAGCATACAGTGATTGGAATAAGGCTCTCTATTAGAGAGGCATAAAGAAAGAAAAATGATGGCAAAATAAATCATTGCAATAACACTGAAGGATAAGTAAAACAAATTGATGAGGAAGACACCCCTGCAAGATGTCGCAGGCTGTCCCATTTATTTATTTTTAAGTATGTACATATTTTTCCTGTCTTGGAGCATGTTTTTGCTTACTTGCAGGAATTTGCTGCCTTAATCCCCCCCCCCCCCCTTTTTTGTGGTTGCTGCTGAAGGATTTATCACATTTGCAGAATACACTGGTGACGTAAGGTTATAAATGCATCATAAAGCTGACACCACCATTGTAAGGAAAAGTTTCTAACAGTATCATAATTCTGTAAGCTAAAGTTTCTAAGTGCTCTGCAAAGAAATCTTTCCTCATTTCAGAAATCACAGTTTCTTGATTTCTCTGGGTGCCTGCTACCTGCCGGGAATACATTATTTTATTGTGACTAGAGCTAATAAAAGTCCAGAATCCTCAAAACCCAACCCCCAAAAACTAAAAACCAAAACCAAACCCAAAACAACCCACATGTTAGATGTACGATGTATTTCAAAACGCTGTCAATCTCCTTGCTTTGTGTTTTCTATCTCTTAGAGTAACTGCAAGTTTCTCAGTGATACCTCTAAGTTACACTTGAGTGTTTAAGGATACTAAAACTTCTACTCTTGTAAAAATGGCCAGAGAAGCAAAAGGAACCAGGGGCATCTATTACAGATCAAGTCAAAACAAATACCTGTGGGAAAGCAGAGACACAGGTGCTATCTTCAGACGAGCTGTTTCATCTCTGTGGTGCAACACAGGAATACAAAGGTCCTGGACACATCTGAGTGAGTGCAGAGCTCTCACTGATGAAGTTCTGCTCTAAGCAGCCAGGATGCATGCCAACCAGGATGATGCTATAACAGTCTGACTATACCTCTTTGAGGTCCACAAGTGACATGGGTTTTGTGGGCCATCTAATCAAAGCAGCTCATTTAGAGGTTGATCTGGTAATCACACTGTACTGCATTG